ATTAATCTTTATTTTAGGGCCCAATTTTTAATTCTTAAATTATACTCATTCATTCTCAAAGGTAACACTTTCTAATAAAATAAAAAATATTTTTAATGGTTTATATTAAAAATATTTATTCTAAAAGAGCATGATTCTTTTCATTAAAAAAGAGTATAGAGTATAATATTAATAGCTACTATATTTTTATCATTTTAATATAATTTATATTAAAATAATTTATTTTTTGAAGCTATTATAACTGAATTAAACTTTAATAAGAATAAAAAGATTTAAAAATCCGAAATAAGGGTCAAACGTCTTTATTAAATCGATATAAAAGTTTGTTTTTGATCCCATGGTTTGCACCCTCAAAACAAAAATTTATAAGTGAGATCCACCCAATTTAAAAAAAAAATTGTCAAATATATCATCCCATGGTACATTGAAAATCATTTGCCCAATTCTTCATAAATTTGCAAATTTGTATGTTAAGAATTGCAAATAAGGGTATGAGAATTTCACTTTCAAATTTTAATTTCTTTCTCTAACATTTAATGGAGGTTAAATAGGAATATTTGTCATGAAAAATTTAATGAGGGTAATTTATAAATAAGATACAAAAAATTTTCTCTTTGTGCGTTATAAATAAGAGCATAGAGAATATATAAAACCTACCTAATATCCTATATTTGGATCATCAAATAAGATTTCTTAAAAACATCCTATATTATAATTTAAAAAAATTCAACGGTAATTGATAATTTAAATAAAGGATATATGATTTCAAAATATTTAATGATTTCATTATACTTTTCTATATCTAAATTACTTGTGTAGGCTGGAAATAATTTTCACAAAAATTTTAGCAGAAAAGCTAGGAGAGAATATTCATTCAACAGAAACCTAGAAGTAAAACTGTAAACAAAAAATGAAACAATAAAATTGGAGATAAGTGAGGTAAATTGAAGATTAATTGGGAGATTTGATGCTTGTGTTACATCAAAACCTGAGATATGTCACAACCCAAAGCAGCAAGACAAAACGAATCATGAATTATCAAAATCATGAAACTTATCGTCAGAACAGACATGCAAAAGAAGAACAAACAAAAGAGAACAAAAGACAACAATATCTATATATATATATATATATGACACGTGGGACTTTTGTTGTTTTGCCTAACTGGTGCCATCATTTCAATCGAATCTTATCTTCGTTTTTGATTGATGGTAAGTGTGAGTGAGTGGAGTTGCGTAGTACTCTATTATTCGTCATCTACCTCTCCCTCCGCCTGTAACATCAATTCAAAATTTGTCTTTGTGGTCAAATTTTAGCATGCTTACTCACAAAACTTGGTATCTTTGTTGGATTCCACATTCTGTGGTCCTTTCTTCCTCTACCCTCCTTTTAAATAAATTAATGATTATTATTAATTAATTCATCAAGCATGCCTTCTTCATCCTTGTGCACTTGACTGTAATTAACAATTGTAATTATAAATATATATATATATATATATATATTAAGCAAGAATAAACAAGTACAGATTTTAAAAAGATTAATGCTAGATCAAATTTTAAAAAAATTAATTATTTAATCCTTAAAATTTTAATTAATTATAATTAATTCTTAATTTTGACCATTCTAACTTAATCTTTATAGTTTTAACTCAATTGTGATTCAGTCCCTTAACTTTGTCTCTTATAATTTAGTCTATATAATTTCAACAACTTAAATATTGGTCTTATATTTTTAAAAATAAATTTAAATATTTAAAAATGAAAAGTATTAAATAATTTAAAATATTATTAATAAATTATAACATAATTTTAATCTTTATAATTTTATTACTAATATTATAAATATTAAAATTTTAAAATATTATAATTTAAATATTTAACTATTTAAATATATAAATATTAAAACTTCAAAATATTTTTAATCTTTATAATTTTATTTTTAAAATATAGAGACTGATATTTAAGTAGTTAAACTATAGGGATTAAATTGTAAGAGAAAAATTTAAAGACTGAGTTACAGCCGAATTAAAATTATAAAATTGAGTTACAATGAGTCAAAATTTAAGAATTGAGTTACAACTAAGTCAAAACTATAAAGATTAAATGATTAATTTTTTTTCACATTTTTAAAATAATTTTACTCCTGAAACATGGGAGAAAGAGTAATGAATTTGGAAATATTAGTTGTGAAGAGATCCTAACTTGACATTAATATTTTTATAAAGTCCATATTTGTCATTTTCCTAAGATGTTATAGGATAAAAAAGCAAATTATTTTCTAAACTTTAATTCCAATGGCATTATAGACTTTGAACTTATTTATTTTGCTACTTAAATTTTAAAAATGATGTGATTTGGCTCTTATCATTGATAAAATTAATTTTAACTATTAGTTGATTAAAAAATGATCTCAAAAATTATAGAAAAAGGACCAAATTTTTTATCATTTTATGGTAAATTAAAAGGTCAAAAAGTTAATTTTTATTAAGGGTGTATTTGGTTAAGAATTTTTGAAGAGGAGGCGAGGGAAGATGAGAGGGGACCTAAAATAACCCCTCCTCTCCCCCTCATATTGCTCCCTTTCAAATTGAGGTTTTTAAAAGGGGAGCTAATTTTTTTTTTTGACCATTTTATCTTTATTTAATTTTTAATATTTAAATATACCTACAACTAAAAAAACATTTATTCATATCAGTTTATGCTTTACTCTAAGACTTTGACTGACATCATTGAATGTTTTTTTAAAAAAAGTTACATCTCATCATATTTTATTATCTATTTAGTTATTTATTTTTTATAAAAAATTATTATAATTATAATTATTGGTTTAATTTTTTTTTCACATATTGACAATATGATAGGATGAGAGTGAATTTTTAAAAAATATGCAATTTAAATTGAGGTGCAAAATTATTCTTTACAAGAAAAAATTAAAAAAATTAAATCAAATAATAGAGGCCAAATTGTACCTTTTTTTAAAGTTAAAGGAATAATTTATACAATAAATAAATTCAAAATATATGGTACTACTAGATTTAAAATTTATAGGATAATTTACTCATTTATCTTGTATTATACCAATCCCATTTTTGATAATGTGAATGTAATCTTTCGATCTCTACACTTCATGTTCATGCACTTCAAAGCAGTGTTACTCTCGTTTATTTGGAGATTTAAATCCTTTGAAATGGTGAAGTTTTGTGAAGTTTTTCTTTTTAAAAAAGATAGAAAAAATTTTATATTTTCTTGAAAAATAAAACATGAGCCAAGATATTAAAAAAAAAATCATCTAAATTCACAAATTCCAACTTCAAAGAATTTATATCCTTGTTTGGCAAGGTTGCTTCATCTCAATGTCATGAAAGAAATCATTAATAATCAGTTTACATTCCAAGAAAAAGAACTACTCCCTTCATTCAAAAATGTAAGATATTTTTAACTGAATTTCACCTCTAATAAAGTAGTTACCTATTTTTTAACTAACCCTATCTTTTTATATTTACACCTATGAAACACCTTACAATTAATATAAAATTATTAATCAACAGGAGTATTTTTAAAAAAAGATAATGATTATATCTCAAAAAACTAAAAATACCTTACATTTTTAAACACTCAACTTTTAAAAAATATTTTACATTTTAAATGAAGGAAGTATAAATTTTGAAATAATACACACACACATTGGCGAATGCAGGGAGACAAGGGGTGCTCCAAAAAAAAAAAACGTTTGATTGGTATTTTGAAAAAATTTGGGAAATTTTTTATTTTACTTGTAAAAGGATGTGAAAATTAGTGTTGGTGCCCCATATTTTAAGTTGTTTCCTATTTTTCCCCATGTGTTCATATTTATATATTAGTTTGTCATTAAAAGTATGGAAAATGACAATAAATTTCTTTCAAATTATATAAATAATAATTTGATCTCTCAAAATGTCATAATATCAATAAAGTCTCTAGGAACTTTTTGTCATTAAGAAATTAATCTAAATGACTGAATTATCCTTAATTCAAATATCAATTATCATTCACAAGTTTTGTTTTAAGGTTTACAACTTTTTTTCTTAAATTACAAGAATTTAATAGCAATTTATAAGTTTGCATTTAAAATCCTGATATTTTTCAAATGTTGCAAATATCAATTACCATTCATAATTTTTGTTTTAAGATTCATAAATTTTCTTCTTAAAATCACAAGAATGTAATAGCAATTCGCAAGTTCGCATTCGAAATCATGAATTAAGGACAATTTGATCATTTTATTAGTTTTTTAATGATAGAAAAGTCTCTAAAAAACTTCATTGATATTATAATATTTTGAGGAATCAAATTATTATTTCTATAATTTGAAGTGATTTTATTATCCTTTTTCTTAAAAGTATTCTTTTCAATAAATAGGGTCAATCTAGAAATTTGCAAGATTCTCAAGATATCAGTGAACAAGATGTACTTCTATTTACCGACAATATCTTCTGATTCATCTAAGTAGGATCCAAAGTACTTGTTTTATTGGGACGAATGCCTTCCGCTGTGGGTGATCAACCCACCTTTAGTGTCGAAATGGGTCACGTGACAACAGGGCAATTCTTCATGAATCTAGGATGGGATTGACAGCCCAGCCCATGTCTAGTAACATGGTTTTCTTTGTTATTGGATTCAATGAGAGTCCAAAGTTCAAATTTAATTCTAGTACTTAAAAAGGTTCAAATTTTATATATATATATATATATATATATATATATTATGTATACGGTTCCAATTTTATGCACATTCCTATCACAATTTCACATCATTCTCTATCTCCGCTTGGGAACTTATACACATCAAAAATAAAATATTATTGAGAAGACTGAAAATAATTAGACACTTATTATTTCATTTACACTCTCCAGTCAAAATATATTACACTTTTAATTATTTTATAAGAATTAAAAAAGTATTTAAAAGCAATTTATATCATTAAAATGATAAATTATTACATTTAAAATCACCCTCTAATTAAAATCAAGCTATCTTGATTATTTTCAATTTTTATATCTAATCTCTCTACAATACAAATAATAAGAACATCAACGCAAAAAACTTATGTTATTTAGCTTTAGAAAACATGTATACTTTCTACCAATACTAGCTAGTAGAAAATGTTATACATTTTAGATTGTAAGGAGTGCATTCTAACAAGTAAAATTACTAATTAATCTTATCAATTCACATACTTATTCTCTCTTCATTAAAAATACTTCCCCTCTTTCCCCCTTATATTCAAATTTTAATTTAAAGTCTATTTGAGTAACCTCAAAAATACATCCAAATTACATCTAAATCGTGCTTTTGTCATATTTAACAAATAATTAAATTTTCTAAATATACTTTTACCAAATGTAAATTAAAATCTAAACAGACACTTGGACTATTTTCATCAACGTGTCTAGTCATGTTTCAATTTCCAAATCTTCACAATTGAGCATTTAGACCACAAGCAACAAGATGGATATGAAAATTCACTATATGGTCAGGAAAAAGGCGCAATCTTTCCCAACTCTGTTCTGCTTGACATTTCTTTTTCAGAAGCAATTTGTATATATATTTGTTAGCATCAAATATGCGCTCCGGCAAAGGCTTCTCTGCTGGAAGTTGAAGCAACTCTCGAATACCTTCACAAACCTGCATAAAACCAATGGATTCTCATCGCTATGAAATGAGGAATCATGTTAGGGTAAAAGGTGCATTTTTTACAAGCATACTCCGAAAAGCATCCAACACTCTAAATTATTAATTAAAATAATTTTTTCTTTAAAATAATTAAAATGAAACATTTTTACCCTTATTGTCAAATTTCTAACATTTATCATTAGAAAATATCAACTAGGACTCCAATGTTAACTGTTAGAAAATCTAATGGCAAAGGGAAAAAAATGCTCTTTTTTTAATTACTTTAAAAATAAAATTACTTTAACTAATAATTTATGGTACTAACTGCTCCTCAGAGAATACTTCAGGGGCAAAAATGCACCTTCACCCATGTTGTCATTATTATTATTTTATTGTGAGCATTGTAAAAGATCTTCCAGGAAACATTCAATTTTGGGTCAGTTTTAGAATCTCATTCAATTATGTGAGGTGAGTTGAAAGGAAAAACAGAAAACGTATGCGTGGAACAATTGACTAGACCTACCAGCTTGATCTGGGCTTTGATTGAAGCAATTAGTTGTGTATACTCCTCCAATTGTCTGCAGAATTAAGAAATGACATGTTTCAACTTGCAATATTACGTTCAACCATACAAAATCAAAAGGGCAAGAAAGAAAAAGGGAAAAAATTAAAAAACAAAACAAAAGAAATGAAGATAAAGAAAAGGTAAGAAGAAAAGAAAGGGGAACAATAGTTCCAGTAACGGCACCAGATAATTACACAAATATAACACAAGACAGTAAAAGGCATTATGCCAGTTATAAAATAACAATAATAAACGTTTGGAATGTGAAACTTAAGCAAGCATATTTAGCTACTTCCAGTAATGGACAGCTGGAAGCATATTTAATCTCCTAGTAGCTGGCACTTTTATCAAATTAAGATCTACTAAACCCTAAATATATGCAACTATACATGACAAATAGTTTCCCAACTCTATGTTTGTCCAACCTAATTAATGTAATGTCTCCTCCCAAAACCTGTCTTCTAGTGCTAGAGGTAGACCGTATACGTTAGTGACATTTTAGTTATAGGCATAATCAGTTTCATTTTTCCATTTACAGTCTTGCACAGAAATAAATCTTATCCTTGCATATGATTCAAGAATTCAACCTGCTAAAAACATTGGCAAACTTTTTTAAGATAGGACAAATCGCTCTCTATCGTGAAAACTTCAATTAATACCTTTTTATCCTTTCTTCCCTTTGTTTTATATAATTCAGAGCTTCAGACCAAGTAAGCTCCACGTGGAATCCCAGCCCTATATCCACGAATATATGCTGCGTATCAGGCCTGCAAAATCAACAAGTGGTTAATATTTTTAGAGGAAAAGAAAATGAAGCTGCAAAGTAAAGCTGCATTATTGGAAGTGGAGCCGCGTGGCACAAATCTTAGTGTAAAATCTTTGAATATATTAATTGCAGATGGCATATACCTTATTTATCATGGGAATGACAGTTATTTATAGTAAAATGATGAAAAACAGTGCTCTTGAATGAAGCTCACTGCTTTTTTGCGAAAATCCTATATTTAATTCTATATATTAGTGTTTAATGTAAATATCATAGGATCAGTTTTTATTCTTTATTTCTAACTCCCCTGATTTCTCGGCCTCTATAATTAATTGGGCTGATCGTATTAGCTGGATATATTTCCCCAATTGGGAAGAATAACAAGTCGAAGAATCATTCCATCATATTCCCCTTCTACGTTTTTAATTATTCAACATATGAAGCATAAGAGCTTATATATGTGTAGTGTTGGGAACGCTGGCCACAGAGAAGATCGGACAATCAGACCCTATCGCACAAATCAAGAATTGAATCATATTAAAAGAAGCTAAAATGCCTAACAAAGAAACCTGAAGATATATACTGCACCAGAGAAGTCAATGAAAATATAAGACAACTAAGATAAAAGGAAGCAACTGAATAGCAACATAATGATAATCACACAGGACAACCACATGACTACAAGTGAAAAAGGAAGTTAGATGCTAGACAATAGAAATAGGAGTGACTGAGTGACAGCATATAGAGCTGCCTTACATGAACTGCTGAAACTCAAGATGAGCAAAAGATAGTTAATGCACAAAGTCACCGACCATAGTAAAAGAAAGGCAGTGAAGCAAGCAAATGCTAAATATCAGTGCCTTACACTTCTGCCTGTAGGTACACCTCAGACCCGATATTGACTAATGTTTTAAGACTAGTCACACTATTTTTCTCCAGGTTCTCAATATTCCTCCTCAAATCAGAGCTGAGTAGATAAGTCAAGTTAATGTAAACAAAATTAATGGTCTTCAATAGGAGAGTGACATTGTCAAACAAAATTAATTGCATTGCTTGGTTATGAGTAATATGTTTAATTTCACATGTACGTAGACAACATTGTCAAATTTATTCTGCCAGAAAAAGTACAAATATAAAAGGAAAAGGATACAAAACTTTTTGCTGTTCGAAGACCTTGTCCCTGCAATAGCATAAACAAAGATTTAATGCAGTAGGTAAGTAAATGTCCAGGGTGTGACATACAAACATACAACTATTTTTTTAATTCACGGTGCAGGACGTTATGAAATACAGACAATGTTACTAAATGGCAACAGTCAGGAAACCATATAAGATTCAGTCCAAATAAAAAAGAAAGTCATACAAGATAATAGCCTCCATTAAAGTTGGAAGTCTCATTATTTGCTGTAGTTCAAATATATCATTGCTCTCCTAATAAACCTCAAGGACTACAATTGTAAGCTTCAAGAACCTTCTTGTGTTGCAGAACAGACTATGCAGCTTTACCGATTGGAAGTTTGCACAAAGAAAAGCCTCAGCATGTTTGTGGTGCCTTTTGTAGGCACCATACTTTTCCCGTTAGAAGGATTGGAACTAAAAGCAGATCAGATAATGTAATGCAACGTTTGTGAACATTATTTGAACCATCTATCAAGTAAAATTATCTTGAACTGATATGATACATGTGTAGGTAAATTTGACATGATCAATAATATTGGCATCAAAACCAATATAGGCATGTAACATTTTTTTTTTTTTTTGGGTCAGATGCCAAACCTATACCTCACAAGCCAAAAATTATTGAATGTTAATACAATTTATCAATTAGTAAGATCTAAAACATATTTTGTACCAGATTGATGGGGCACAGTGAATATTACACCTAGTAGGAGAAGATACTGGCAACTCAATCAAATACATGCCCATGTGTGTGTGTGTGTGTATCCAAAGTAAAATTGCACTGCACTCCAATACCGTTCAGCAATAGCACGAACAAGGTCTGGTTTCAACCGTTGATCAACAAATTCTTCAAATTTGTGTACTTTTTGCTGGCATAATCTGTCCATTGGACTCCTATTCAAGGATTTACCAATATGGGATCATTACAAGAGTAAGAGAGAGATAGAAAGTATTGGTTAACTTGTGAATATCTCTCTACATTGGAATTACAAATTTACAAAATCCATTACCTCACTCCCATAGAAATTTAAATTCCCAACCAACAAAAAACAAAAGCCAAAATGCTGCAGCATTTGGAAACCAAATGATCATATCAAATGCAAAGTGCAAAAATCAATCAGAGGTTAAAGCAGCAAATACTATAATTGGGTATATATAGACATAATCCAACCTATGCTTACCTTTGGACATTTTGTCATCCATGAATTGGGCACAGACTCATTATCATTTAGTGAAAAAAGTACTCTGACTTTAAAAACTATTTAGAGAGAGCACGCACAAAGCTCGTGGTCCTCATCTAACAGAATGATCTATGAAGTCAATTGGGAGCATAAAATCATCGAAATAGAAGAGGATCAAATAGTTAAATCAGCATTGCATAGCTTTGGAGTCAACTTCAGAACAACAAAGCCACACGTCTGTTCACAGCAGCCTAAGCAGGATCAAGAGCTCAATGCAAACATCTTCCAAAATTTCTACGGATGCTAAAAACAAATGATTTTATAATGAGGATGAGCCACAATTAGAGTTAAGAATTCCAGTAAAGTGCACCCAATGTCAGATTTTTTCCCTCTTTAAACAATGGACAAGAAGAAAACCTATTGACATAGCAACGTGAATGCAGAACCAACGTATTCTATTAATTAAAAAAAAAATATTCCAGTAATCAGCAGGAGGCATTCATGAACAAAGTAAATCTAAATCCAGAAGACCAGAACAGACTCGAACTCGGACAAAAAAAAATCTAAATCAGCAGAAGCCATTCAAGAATAGTCACGAAATCAGAAAAATAAAAAATAAAAACATAAAACAACAAGGCACCAGTGAAGTCGAACTTGTCGAACATACCTTGAGAGCAGCGGCGAAGCCGAGCAACCACAAGTTCACGAACACGAAGAGTAGACACGACCTTGATGATGAAGATAGCGAATTCAGTTTCGAAGTCAAAAGACGCGAACGCGAACAAAAAGAAGGGAATTCGAAGGTGAAGATTGAAGAGTTGAAGATGGCGAACGCGCGAAGCAGAGGCGAGGGGGAGGGGGAGGGGGAAGGGAAGGCGAGGAACGGAGAAGTGACGGGTTCGATTGGGGCGGCCTCCCTCGGAGAAAGCCAGGTACAGCTCGTAATTGGAGTGGATCCAGTTCAATTTGAGTCGGATTCATTTGAATTAAATTTAAAATATTATATTTTCTTTTTAAAAAGTTTATATAATTATATTTGATCATAATTTTTTTTATTTTGTTTGAGCTCACTCATCAAGCTTAGCCAAATTAATAATTTAATAAATATATATATAAAGTTAAAAATTTCAACAGTTAAGTCCAATTCGAGTCAAATTTATTCAATTAAAATTAAAGTATTCTATCTTCTTAAAAAATTTTATATATCTAAGTCCGTCCTAGCTTTTTCAGGCGAATTTAAATTGGCCCATTTAGTTTGGAATGAATTATCGATTCTAAAAACTAGGCCTAGGTGCGAAAATTTAAATAATCTAGATTTAATATTTTATTTTTTTATTTTTTAAAATAAAAAAAATTATATAAATTGCAAAAATTATAATGGACTTGTTTACTAATAATCCAGATTTAATATCAATAATTAATATTTAATATCAAGTTTTTTGTAAATTGACTTTTTAGATATATCTAAACAATGCATGTTTATATTGATATTTTTTATAATTTTTATAAATTTTTATATTAAATTTAGACTGTCTAGACTGGTAAAAATTTTTACAATTTAAATAAGTTTTTGATTTTTAAAAATGTAGAATACAAAATAAATAATTAATTAATTTGGACTATTCAATTTAAGTGTGTGTTTGGTCTTCAGTTTGCTAAAATAAATATTTTTTATAATTTTTATAAATTTTTATATTAAATTTAGACTGTCTAGATTGGTAAAAATTTTTACAATTTAAATAAGTTTTTGATTTTTAAAAATGTAGAATACAAAATAAATAATTAATTAATTTGGACTATTCAATTTAAGTGTGTGTTTGGTTTTCAGTTTGCTAAAATTCTATTTAGTGAAAGTTCATTTGGCAAAAATTAATTTAGTAAAAAGTAAATTGTTATAATAAAATTTATATTTGAATACAATTTTTCAAAAGTCAGTTTGATACATTGAAAATTGTTTGGATTATGTAATGAAATATATTTTTTAATGTACAATTATCAAAAAGGACATTGATTTATGATGATTTATAATTTTTATTATATAAATGTAATATATTTGAAATATTTAAAAACTGTGATAACAATTTTAAATAACATGAAATTTGATTTATGATGTTAAAAACTTGATCTTTAGTTATTTGTACTTTTTAATTTGTAATTTTAAAAAATATAATAAAGATTTATAATTTTTATTACACAATAATACTAAAAATTAACATGAATTAACTATTTTTTAAATAAAAGAATAAGAGATTAAATTTGGGATAGTATGATTAAATAACATTTAATTTTTTAAATTCACTTTTTAAAAATTTTAAATAGTTATGTTTCTTAAATTTACTTTCAATTACTGTTTAGATATGTTTTTCTATAAAATATTTTACTCAAATAACTTTTAACATCCTAAGAGTAAAATGGATCCTAAATCTAGATGGTCTATATTCCACATCTTCTCAATAAAGGTGTGGAGGAGGAAAGCCAATTGCCCTCAAGCGAGGAAGGTTCGACAAGCTATATTCATTTTAAAATAATTTCTGCAAATAATTTAAATTAATTTTTAAATATTTTTAATATTATATTTAAAAAAATAAACTTTTATAAAAAGAATAAAAAATTAATATTAAATATATAATTGTTAAAGTATATCTAAATAATCAATTTATAAAAATTATAAAAAATTTAATACTAAATTAGTTTGCCCATATTATATTTTTATTTTGTAAAAAATTAATTTTTATTTTAATAAATATATAAATTAAAAAAATTAAGTTCATACAATACAGTTCTCATAAAGGTAATAAGTAACAAGGTACTCATCCCTAAGCATAGAAGACAGCTCGAATTTAATATTAATTTTTTTTATAAAATCAATTTAAAATAAACGATGGAGATGATATTAAAATAAACAAAGGGCGTTCATCAGCCAAAATGTTGATGAACACTGTTGATGAGTATCAAATGCGAACGCCAAGAGCGAGTGAGTGAGTGAGTGTAGCTATGTTTGGGTTCCCCTCTTCAGAGCTGAGGCTTTGCCCTCCTACAATTAAAACATCATTTAAATATAAAATTTTTGTTGAAAAATTAACCACCTCAAGTCGGGCTGGGCAACACGGTTGGAATGGCTGCCCAACCTGAGTTTTGAGCTAGCCCGACCATATATAAAAATTTTCAAGCACCTTTTTAGCTCCTTCAGGCCTGGTTTCTCAAACACCCGGGCCACACGTTCAGCTTCAGCATTTTAAATTCTTCAGTCTGCCCATTCTCCTTTTCTGGACCACTTCTTAGGCCCTTCTGTTATCAATGTCAGCATTCAACATTCATGTTATCAATGCCAGTTGCTTCAAAACGTTTCCACTTGTATTTCTTAAACTAGATTTTATGTTAAAGTTTTGTAAATAGAGAAAATTACTATTGAAATAGCTTTTCAATCATGTGATCTCATCCAACTTCATCTGGATTAGTCAAGATCTATTATTAACTTTTAAAAATAAGTTGATATATTGGCCACGGTTGTGAAGAGAGTTAAACAAATAATTGAGTCATGCAAAGAGAAATAAAAAGAAGACAAAAAAACTATATTTAAAGATTTGGTTATTGATAAAGCAAAATATGGCCATGGGATCTATGTAATTGACCCGACCAAAAGTGATAAGGCTTGCCATTGTGAAAATAATAAAAGCATCAATATTTACTGTCAGCAAACAAAAGTTGATCCAACTGATAATGAATTTAGCTCATAACCTATAAGGTTGCAAGTTCAAATCATGTGAGGATCTTATTGATGGATAATATATAAGTACCTTTATAAATGCTTTTTGAAATTGAAAACATGCCTTGACTCTAGTGAGCCCTCAGATCCAACTCACTTGAAGTTTTTTGTTAAAAAAAAAAAAATTACCGTTTGGACTGCAGATGAAAATCTGGAGACCTTCATTTTAAACAAATAACCATTCTCACGTTGATCCAAAGTTGAGGGGAAGTAACTAGACTCCTGCACACTATAAAATCCATCTGACAAAAAAAGTGTTATTTCTTACATAACAGCAATGAAAGTTTTGAATAACAGCAGAGCATGTAGATTTTCATTTTCGCTATGCAATACATTATTGACTCTTCAACAGAACTACTTATAATTAGTAATTTCAATTTCATTGAAGAACCTAACAGTAAAACTATATAGAGCCTGTTCAGACACGGTTTCGCAGCTGAGCAGGCAAACCATAATATCATTTCACAAATACCAAACGTATAAATGATCATTCTATTCATACAAGACAGAATCGTTCTATGCATACAAAGACCTTTTGATGTAAGTGAGACACTCGAACGTCGTTAAGAGAAGATAGAGCAGAAACACTTGAACGTTGTTTAGAGATATCTGCAATAATGGAGTCTGGTGAAAGAACAAAAATCAGGATACTCGAGACATTTCTTTCAAAGTCAAAGCCTGTCTAGACTATCAGTCTACTTAACATTTCCTAATAAAATGATTGTGATTCACCAATGATATTGATATGCAAGATCAATCCAACAGGCAACACATACATTTCCAGAGAAAAAGATAAAGAAATAAGAAATAGTAGGTGTAAAGAAGAGATAGGTTCTCCATATACAATCACGTTCTTGTGTTACTCTCTGATCAAATGCATGAGTACATAAATGTAGAATATTCAAATTAAAAAGTCTACCATTTTGTACACACAAATAACAGATTTTTCTACAACATTGCAGAAAAAGAAACCACTAATAACCTGCCTTTATGTTTCTCTAGATTTGAAAACACAGAAGGCCATTCAAATAATAACCTGAAAACCACTAATAACCTGCCTTTATGTCACTTGCTTGAAAGCCATTCAAATTCATCCACTCTTTATAGCTTACATATTCAATGCGTTGAAGAGGAATCAGTGCAAAGCTCCTCTATGATGCTATAATTTGCCAGGGACAATGTCATGTGGTTCCCTTCTTCATTTTACCAATTCAATTTATGATACCAAAATCAAATTGGCTACCTCATTGAATGCCCACTGATTCAGCAGATACGACCTTTCTGGTGTCTGAAACTGAGTCGCCTTCAACATCTGAGGTCTCCTTATAAGAAAACTTACAACTGAAGTAGAACACTGCATTCATCATGGATTCTACAAGCAGAACAAAGGAATACATTATCACCAAGAGTGGTCCTTCCCACATCCTTGAAGATCCATCACCATAGCTCACTGTCTTTACTCTGTGCTCAAACAATCCCTCTACAAAGGCCATTCCTATAGCAGAAACAAGAAAGATCACAAGACCCACCTGAGTTCGACCGCTGATTAAAACTTTAGATCTCAACATTGCTTGTGCTCCTGAAACATCCTCCAGCATAGATATTACAAGAGCAACTTTGCAAATGATAATCACATTGGCAAATATGACTGAGAAAACTAGCCCAACCACCATTACAGCCCACACAACCATCTCTGATGGAAAACCAAGAACAGAAAATGCACTGCAGAAAGCTACTAGAAAAACAGCGAACAAGATGATGCAACCTACTATAGCTGTGCAAGTCCATGCATATGTCGAAACCATTGGCCTCCATAACTTAGCAATGACCGTGCAAAACTTCGACGCATCAAACAGTTTTCTCAAGTAAGTACATTCTACAGTGTAAAATACTGCAGCTTTTGACGATAAGAGCAATGTGATATACAATGGGAAGCATATGACTGAAGAAACCATCGTCTCTGCAAAACGATGGCTAGAGTCTTTGATGAAAGTTGTAAGAGAGAAACCACTAGTTTGAGCAACCAACATTAGTTTCAGAGCAAGTCTCTGCACAATGGACTCATTTACTAGTATCTTAGACAAAATAACAGCAGAAACAGGACAAATGAGCAAAGTCATTATCCCCATGAAACCCCAAGAGTTAAAACGAAGAATCCTCACGGTCTCTCTCATGATATCCAACGCATTCATCGACTGAATTTGATAATCATGACCGACATCAGAAGACAATTCCATCTCTAAACCTTGCAAAGGGATTTCCTCGGATCCCTCTTTCCTCAAACTATCAGACCTAATTCTAGGAGAACAAACTCCACCAGAAATGTCCATTCCCAGCAAAGAAATGGATAATTGGGTAGATATTAAAGATGTAAAGAATGCTTAATGTGAAACCCAAGATCTAAAAGAATCAGATTAAGCTCCAGAAAAGCAAATCGAGAACTGGGTATGTCGGCAATAGATGCTATGAACAAAATAATTGATTAAAGCATCGTGTAATTCATACAATATAGCGCCTTTAAAACGGGATTGGATAACATAAGCGGTGGCAATGCAGGCAGATTCCAGCATTTGGGAACGCCACGTGCAAGAATGAGAGCAGAGGTGGAGGTAGACGCTCGCTAGGTGGCTCCCATGGTGGAAACAAAGAGTGAGAGGGTTGAGGAAGGTTCACAAAGAAGAAAGAGATTTGTCGGTCATAGTCCAGGACAACGTTCAACTTCAGATAAACGCGTTAATTTTGCTTCTCGTGTGCAAGAACTAGAAGCGTTTCCTTCCTCCCTTTAACACAGAAACATTGCAACGTGAGATTGTCTGAACGATTTTGTTTTCTAGTCTATTTAAAAGAAAAAATGACAATATAATACCTTGACAATATACAAAGTATAATTAAATACCGCCATGTGATAATTATTATTTAAGACATTTTAATTTCAGTTGAAATGATATATTAATTCTTAACTTTTCATCAACGCAAACCTGGTTCATCGTCTCACCTTCACCGAGCTTGTTTCTTCTCCTTCTTCAATTTACATGCACCGGACTCATCTCTGATCACCACCACCGACGGTCATTTATCTTAGCCTTACGATCGAGCCGACCTCAAACCCCGTCCCGGAAGTGAGTCTAAAATCCCAACCGTCGACCTTCCGGCATTGTCAATAGAGACTCTCCCGACCGCCGCTCTGCCGTCAAAAGCTTAGGGCGAAATTATTTAGGGTTAAACTTTGTGCGACAAGTAAAAAATATGAGTAAAATAGGATCTGTCCAAAATTAAAAAGATTATAAGGAAGCAGCAGAAAGCAATGGCCTCAATCACCAGAAGTACCTTTGTCTTGGCTCTTTCTGCTTCCTCCTATTCCACCAGAACCATTTTTCTTCTTGTATATCTAATTTATTTTCTTGATTTACTAGATTAGTTGGTTTCGATTTCACTGACCAAGTGCTGTAGAAAACAGTTAGAACATGATACAGCTCTCATAGTCATATATAACGACTTTGACTTTAAATATATACCCCCTCAGTCTTTTTGATGGGAAAACGACGATCAAGGCATCCTAAAGACATTAATCTTAATTAAAAAATTATAAAATACTAAAATTTTAATCAAGAGTTATGATCTTTAATTGATATAAAAATATATCTAACTTTATAAAATTGTCCTCCACTAAATACTAATCTTTTGTGCGTGAAAAATTTGAGCAAAAAATTATAATCTTCGATGGAGTGAATCGTCATTTAGGTCATTATCTTCTCCTCCTCTTGGTGATAGGTAATTTCATTTATTGTTTCTTTTTCATCTTCTTTCATCACCTGCTTGAAAAATCTTAAGTTTTACAGTTTTTTTATCTCTATTTTTTATATCTTCTCTTATCTCTCGAAAGACAATTTTTATATATTTGTAAATGATTGTTTCTCTTCTATAGTTAAGGAAAAAAGAGATCTTATTGATAATTATATATGTACACACAATAAATGATTTCTAAGACAAATAGTGTTAAAAAAATTGAGTGCAAAAAAAATGTAACATGAATGCTAATTCTTTTCTGTTCTATGATGAAAAGTATGCTAATATTGAAAAATGTAACATAAATGTTGAGTTGTTGTAGTCATAATTAGAATTATGGGAAGGATAGATGCGAAGTAACAAATTATTGATAGATTTTATCTTGAAAATTTTGTATGTAGAGCTAATTGAAGCATGTATATCATCATTTACCTTAGACAGTGCAACAATATTGCACAAGAGAAATGACGCAATCATAACATGCTCTCATTAATTGACTTGCTCTAATCATGTGGGAATAGTTGAGTAAAATGAAGTTTGAGCTATTGTATTAGCTGGTGATTCATTTACACAATAGAATAGCCTCACAAGTGCTGGCATCTATTTCAAATGCCGGGCATAAAGGATCAAAAAGATTAAATGCATAGATTAGAAAACTATGATATAGACTTTCACAAGTTATGCAATCATGGTATAGACTTTCACAAATTATGTTTTGGTTCTATGTATGATGTAAATTAAAACTTTATGTACTTAAGTATTTTTGCTAAATTTATAAGAAATTGGACAAGTTATTTATGAATTATTTTGATTAACGTTAGTAAATTCTCAAGCCACGTTAGTAAATTTTCAAGTCATATTAGTGAATTCTCAAGTCATGTTTGTGAATCTTAATTCAAACAAGTCATTTTTTATTAAACAATCATGTTCCCAGTGAAGTTTCATATTTTTACAAGATACAATATCAATATTCTCATGCCACTTTAGTGAATTCTAAATGGAGCTTATCATACATTAACAAGCGTGAAATTTGATAAGTTATTGGTGAATTATCTTGACTGATGTTAGTAAATTTTCAAGTCACTTTAGTATATTCAGAAGTAATATTAAAACTTTTTAAAGCTTAGTTTCTGAAATTGTGGGAAACAATCTATTCCCAAGTAGAGTTTCATATTTTCACAAGATACAATAGCAATATTCTCATGCCACATTAGTATATTCATAAGTGATCTTGTAACATTCCAAAAGTTTCTCTGATATTGAGAAAAAATTTGTTCCTAAGTGGGGTTCATGTTTCCTCAAGTTACAATAATAATTTTCCATTCTACATTAGTGATTTCAATAGTCTTATGTTATCATAGTAGTTACACTTGCACATAATTTACACCTGAAATAGACATCAGTATTATATTACACTAATTTCAATACATATACACCATATTTGCATTCCTTTTTACATGCAAAATATCTCATCTACCTAAATGGTACTTGTGCAGTTTGCTTCCCAAAAAATAATGTAAATTGTAAACTTATTTACACAACTTGTCACTACCACAAGTACAAAAAATATAGTATGAATATCAGTACAAAAAGTTATTGAGCAGTAAAACACAGTAAATAAATAAAAATCAAATACATTTCAATTTCAAATCAATTAATATGCATATGGTTTTCACCTCCTTTCAATCCCTACATCTATTCTTGAATTGAGATTCCTACATCTATTCTTGATATGTCCAACCTGATTACATCTTGAGCAATGGTACACCTTCTTGTTTTGAAACCGTGACTATCTTCGCTTGGTGTGTGGTTGTCTTAGGGGACGTGCAGTTAGTAGTGATTCCAAAAGGGTATTATTTTCATAATCTTCATAATGTAGCTCGGTAAACTAAGGCATATCAATTGTTTCCACCAGAATCATTGTGAAGCTATAAATTTTCCTTGTGCACAGATGCTTTTATAAATATAGTTGCATCATCACATGTTTGTCTAACACTCGTAAATAAATCCTTTCATTTTACTTAATTAACCTCAAGGAGTAATGTAAGAGCATTTTGTGTTAAACATGACAAAGAGGGTGATATACCTTCAAACTCTTGCTTAGAGGGAGATTCTGACAGTGACCATTGTAAGAAATTTTTCATTTTGCGTTCACAATTACTCACAGGTTAATACTTCTTTTGCTAAAGTACTTGCCATATAGGAAATAAACCTGAACCAATTAAGAGCAATATATAAATTTATTATTTCACAACTACTCTTTCGATAATCTCAACTATGACTATGACAATTCAGCATCCATATTACATTTTTCAACATTGACATATTTTTCATCATAGAACAGAAAAAATTTAGCATCCACATTACACCTTTCTTTTGTTTCACTCAATTTTTTCTAATACTATCTATATCTTACTTCACAATTATCCTTTCTATAATTCCAACTATGACTATAACAATTCAACATTAGCATACTTTTCATCATAGAACAAAAAAAAAAAAAGATTAGCATCCATATTACATCTTTTTTTTTCACTCAATTTTTTTTCAATACTATCTATCTTAGAAATCATTTATTTTTTTTTTTTGTGTGTGTGTGTGTAATCATCAACAAGATCTCTTTCTTTTTAGTTATAGAAGATAAATGATGTAAAATATAATTTACAAAGATACAAAAATTATCTTTTACCTAAGAGAGAAGAGAAGACATAAAAGATAGAGAAGATGAAAACTGTAAAATTTCAAATTTTTCTTACAAGAGAAGGAAGAAGATGAAAAAGAAGTAATGAATGTAATTACCTATCACTAAGAGAGGAAGAAGATGATGACCCACTCCATTAAAGACTCCAATTTTTTGCTTAGATTTTTTGTACACATGAGAGCAGATTTTTCACGCCCAAAACAAACATAGAATACAAGCATGAGCTGATATTTTTTAGTGTTTGGTGGAGGGCAGTTCTATAAAATTAAATGTGTTTTTTATTTCAATTAAAGATTGTAGTTCTTAACTGAAATTTTAATATTTTTATGATCTTTAATTGAGATTAATGTTTTTAAAGGGTCTTTTATTGTCATTTTTCCCTTTTTGATTTCCTTTCCCAATTTTGCTCCTTCCCGGCTTAAAGATAGAGAGGAAGGGGAAGCTTGAATCAGCTTGTGGGCTTTGTCATGTAAGGCTTGGGGAGAGGAGTAATAAAGATGAAAGAGATAAAGAAATGAGAGATGGGTGATTTGAGGTATGAATCTTGGGTGAGACGATGACATGGCTATGTCAGGCAAAAATTAAGGGTAAATAATATAATTTCACAAAAAAAAGTTATACAAGCCCAAAAAATTAAATAATAATTAAGAATAAAGCAACTTTTAGTCCCCTACATTATGGGGTTCTATCAAGTTGGTCCTTTAATTTTAATTTCTATCATTTCAGTACTTAATGTTTTATAAAATTATCTAACTAATCCTTTATCTTATAAGAAAAATTAACACCACTGATGTAGCTAATAGAAAAATGATATGGCAACTATGTAGATTAACATGAGAAGCAAATGAATTGACTAGGATAATAAAAAACATTTTTTATGATAATAAAAAAATTAGGTCATAGAAAAAACATTAAATGTGCATCTCCTTCTTATCTTCACCGTCATTGCTCTTCGTCGGTGACTGATCTGCTCCAGCCTCTATCCGTCTTCATGGTCTCATTTTGGGTAATTGATTCTCGCTGTCATTACTCTTTACTAGTGATTCTCTTGATATAGCCTCCATCTATCTTCACATGCTCGTTTTGGGTAAGTGACCCTTGCCGTCATCATTCTTCACTGGTGACTTGTCTTCTCCATACAATATTTAGCTTCAACCTTGAATTTGATTCTTCCCCACTATTTCGCTCTTCACTGTATTGTTTAATTTGATTCTTGAAGCAGAGACTTAGAGAGCAATTAGAACCACAGACGGGCTATAATAATACTGGTATTCCTGGTCTTTATGTTTTTATATTGGCTATAATAATTTACAAACTAATTGATATTCTTTGTAATGTATAGTATATGTAAATAAATCAAAAATGAAATTCTCTGTAAGAGCTGCCCTCTATAGTGGGTTGAATTGGTTTTTTCTTCTCATTCTAATCTCTATTGAACTACTCACTGCATATTTGAGATGAACTCTGATGGTGCCTTATCCATTTTTTTTATAGAATGTTAGTGTAGGAAATGCTCTTATTGATATGTATATAAAAAATGTGCGTGTTAAAGATGGGAGGAGGGTGTTAAGAGATGCTGAAGCTATTTTTTATAGTATGGAGAGCAAGGATCACTATCAATATGGAGTCCCTTTGTCTGAGCAATTATGCTCTCTTGTATTCTGTGAGTTTTCATATATTTTCTCTGTGCAATGTGTTCTATTTTTTATCAAAAGTGATTAGTGATAATTGCAGAGATCATGGACTTATAATTTCTTTGACTTGCTTGATGAACCAATCCTTGAGGCTGCTACCATGGAGAGGAACAAAAGAAGATTATTCAAGATTGGAAGAGAAGGATGAACTTGATGAATTGTACCATTATTGCTGGAGTAGGATGTAGGATGTAATTTATGATTTAAAAATGTTGTAGGATATAGGCTTGTCGCTCTTTCCTATTGCTACTGATGTTGTTATTTAGTAAATTAAGCTTGTAACTCTAATGGTAGTGTAAGGTTGTTACCATGTTTTGGTATTTAAGTTGTTGTACTAGCTTCGTAACTGATGTAAAATGCCCATTTGGATATGAAACTGATGTAAATGCCAATTTGGCTTATTACAATGTTAAGAATTGGATGTTTGAATGAAAATTGCATTATCCTAGCCCTCTTTGCCTACTATTTTTTATTCTCTTGATTTTCAAAAATGAGCCAACTTAATCTGACATGTCTTACCTTTCACAATTTAGCATGGCTATATGGTAAAAGTGCCTCCTTCATTAAGATTAAAATCCCACATTGGTCATCCACATGACTTTAAAACATGGATCCTAAATTACAAGTGATAAAAGCAAAGGATGTGTGAGGAGGAAAAGCAATATGCGTATTATATTCAATAATTCTTTTTACAAGTGATATAAGATTCTTTTTTTGACAAGTGGCAACAAGGAGAATTATTCATTCAAACCTGCAGAAAAAAAAACCCAAAAAACAGAACAATCAATAATAGCAAGGAAAAAAATAAAATCGCAGCAAGCCAACAACAACAATTAGCAGCAACAAGGGAAACAAACTAGGAACAGCCAAAAGAAAAGAAAACTAAAAGAAAAAAAAGAAGTAAAACAGAATATATGAACCTCTTGAAAAAAAAACCAGCATTATATTATAAGGCTTAAAGGTAAAATAAAATGTTGATAGACTAGTCAAATCTTCGCATGAATTGAAACAGAACGTATGAACCTTTTGATCCTAAGGCTTGAATTAAAATGCTGATTGCTTCAATTGGATAGAATATTTTAATAGGGTGACTCAAACAAAGAACTGAAAATCTACATGGCCAACGATGACAACCACACAATAACATTAACTTTCAACATTGTATATTCAAATACCAAATATAAGATCCATAGAGCACTAAGGTTTGGGATCACCAAAAAAAAAAATCCAACAATATCAAATGCCAAAAAGTGAGATCCCTACACCATAAAGTCTGGGATCACCAAAAAAAATTCCAAAAACATAAAAAACTAAAAAGCAAGATTCCTATTGAAAACACACAAAAGTGCTAAGGAATCATCTATTGATCCATTGGAGTTGAAGATGATGGTGGTTGGCTACAAGTCCCTTTTGTTGTTGCTCTTTTGTGGGGCTGACTGAATTGATGATGATGATGGTTGAGTGAAACTTCTCTTTTGTGGGAGCTTTTGTTGTCTTTGGTTGGAATTGTGTGGGATTGAATGAGTTGGAGATATTGCTGGTTGGCTGGAACTTTTTTTGTTGTGCCCTGAGGCACCACATGCACCACATCGTACTGCACAACTTCTTTTGTTATGTCCAGAGGCACCACAAGAAGTACATTTTACACTAGCACCTGTCTTGGAAAGCTTGGTTCATTGAGGAGACTCTTGTAACGACACTTTTCGCTTTTTTTTGGGTCTTCCAACTCTCTTTTGTATTATGGGTGGTTCTATTGTTTCCCTTTCTTCGTTTATCTCCCAAGCATTTTCACCATTACAAAGATAGACGATGGGATTATAGTAAGTGGCATAACATTCAACCGTCAAATACTTATCAACATACTTATTTGGATCATCTCTCATTGCATAAATACAAGAAATTGCATGCCTACAAATATAAGCATAAATAGTAAAAAATTATATGAGCATTAATGAATATAAGCTTAAAGTCAACAACACCACCAATAGCAAATAGTGTCCCCTCCCCGATCCCCTTATCAAATATGCCTCATCTAATACGGACTCCATCCTACATGCCAGAGTCTCTGATCTTTGTGATAATAATGGTTCTTGGAAAGTAAGCCAACTGCGCAGATATCTACATCTAAAAATCTTGAAACTTATCACTATTGTGTAGCCTCCTAATTTGAATGCAGATGATGATGTTATATGTTGGAGACCTTCAAACAATGGCAACTTCTCTATTAAATCTACTTACAAGGCCATAGAATCTCACTGTGATACTACTAGCCTTGAAGTTTGGTCTAAAATTTGGAAGTGGCCAACTTATGAGAAGATCAAGTCCTTTCTCTAGAAGGCAACTTGGGATCGACTTCAACCTAAAATCACATGTTTTAATGGGAATATTCCTTCTCTCAAAACTTGTCCTTTTAGTTGTAATTCTTTAGATTCCACCACTCATATCTTGAGAGATTGTAAAAGATTTAAAGAGGTTTGGTTAAAACTAGTTAAAAAACTGAACTTAATACTTTCTTCTCTCCATCTTTACAGGAATGGATTCTCTGGAATGCAAAAAGAGAAGCGGGAAATGCAAGATCACGCAGTATCCCTTGGCAAAAGCTCTTCACTCACGTGTGTTGGAATATTGGAAATAGAGGTGCAGAATCATTTACTCAGAAGATGATACCCATGAGAGAGACATTGCCTTCACCAGCATACAAGATATCCTCAACGACCAATACCTCTAATCTAGAATCAATTTTTTGACTTAACAAGGTGATAGAACTAAGGCCAAATGGTTCCCCCTGAAAAAGATTGGGTAAGACTTGATATAGATGGCTCTGTCAACAATCATGGGGTTGCTTCTTGTGGTGGTCTCATTTGAGATAACCACGGCAATTGGATCAAAAGTTTCTCTAAATTTCTTGGTTACCATCCCAGCACGGCGGCCGAACTTATGGGCATTCTTGAAGGACTTACTATTTGCTGGGCTGAGAAGTTTAATAGAGTCAATGTCTTCTCGGACTCAACTGAAGTAATTACACTCATACGCAATGAGTTTTCTAATACTCATCTATTTGCCGCAACTATTAACAAAATCAGAGACCTTCTTATGCACGATTGGACTGTCACTTTTGATCACATTTTCAGAGAGGCCAACAAATGCGCAGACTGGATGACTTATCAAGCCTCTCCCAACAACTCAAATGTTCAAATTTTTAATAGTCCTCCTACTGGCTGTAGTCACATTTTGTACGCTGATATGACTTAATTTGTCTTTCTGCACGATTTTTCCGTGGCCTTTTACTCAAAAAAAAAAAAAAACAACACCACAAATAGAACTTATGTAAATCACATACCTACAAGGTAAACCAGTCAAATCCCACCATCTACAAGTACAAGTTCTTTGATTAAGATTGACAGCAAACTTGTGCTGATACAATGAAACTTCATACTCAAAATTTCCAGCCCATTTAGCCACCCACTTCCTAGATTCCTCAACTTCTTTGTCCAAACGTTTTTGAGGTCTAGGACATATTGTAAGTCCTTTTCCTAACATGTTTTGAGCCTTCATTCTGTTTTGTGCAAATCTCTCCATCATGTAGCTTCTAATCCAATCAAACAATCCAATTATGGGTTTTTCACGAGCCTCAAGCAATCACCCATTAAAAGATTCAGATATATTGTTTAAGATCATGTCACACTTAGGGTAATCTTGAAAATGAGATTTAGTCCAACATGAAGGTGGGAAGCTCATCAAATGATCATGAGCTTCCTTACACACTCTTTTCAACTCAATCATCTTTTTTTTTTCCATAATGTAGTATAAGTGGCTTTTGCAGCTGCAAGAACATGGTCTCTAATGACTGCCCCACCACCGTACCTACTTTTAATATTTGCATATAGATGTCTAACACATATGCGATGCTCAGTACCCCTGGCAAGTTCATCAATAGCAGGAATCAATCCCTATAATTTGAAAGCAACAAGTAAGTAAAGAATATCATTAATGGTAAAAGTATTAAATTAAAAGGTAAATATGACACACCTTTTGTTGATCTGATATTCGGTTCCAATATCATCAAGAATGTGTTGTATAAACCACTTCCATGAATCTTTGTTTTCTCCCTCTACAATAGCAACAGCGAGTGGAAAGTACTGATCATTTGGGTCTCTTCCAACAGAAACTAAAAGAATACCTCCATAAGGCCCTTTTAAAAAGCACCCATCTAACCCTATAATTGGTCTACATGCTCCTTTGAATCCACTTTTTATAGGGGCTAAGCAAAGATACAATCTTTTAAACAAAAGTGGTCCATTAATCTCCAATCTCTCGGTCAATAATTGGAAAGTAGTTCCTGGATTTTTATTCCTCACTTCATCCATAAAATCCCATAATTGTACATATTGGGCTCTATAATCTCCATCAATTATTGCTCTTACCTTCTTTCTTGCTTGTTGAGCCTTAGGCACAGTCACATCACACATGTAACCCTCCCTCATCAGCGAAATAATATCAGACAACTTCATATTCTTATTTATTTTCATCGAAGTTGTAATTTTTTTTGCTATCCATGAAGATGTAGCCATCCTTGAATTAAAGGTGACACCACATGTGTGTTTAGGATTATATGTCTTCAACCTAAATGTTAAAGAACCGGTCACCTTATTTACAAGTATCTTCCACTCACACCCCTTCTTGCAATGCACCCTACACCGTGTTCCATCATTCTTGATAAACCTTGCATTATAACCATTCAATAAAACATACTCCCTTATTGCTTCCTTAAATTAGTGAAGTGAAGTAAATTCCATTCCAAGTTTAAATTTGTAATCCTTACACATTTCATTTGGGTTATATTTGATGTAACAAGGTCTAATATGACCATCATCACTATATGGACTTTCACAAGAGTACAGCTCATCAGTTTCATGACCAGAATCAACATTCTCAATCACTGGGGGAAGTATGTTTCCTAATGGAGTTTCTTGATTATGAATAGTGTCAAACTCCTCTTCAATATCGATATCACCTTCATCCTCAACATATTCATTGAGGTACTCATCACATATATTGTCATCACTATTATGGATTTTTGATTCAATTTCACTTCCAGATTCTGTATCTGATTTAAAAATATTGCATTAAAAAACTATAATCAAATCCTATACTATCATAACACTTAAAAAAATGCAAATTACATATACTTACTAGAATAGCTATTCTCATCCATTATAATATAACTATATTTGAACTCTGAACCTGATAATTATGTCACAATATTTAGTCAAATTGCAAGAATATATATAAATGTTGAGAATAACAAGAAAAGATATTGAGGAAAGAAATATACACTTTGGAGTAGAGAAAGTATCATACCTCTTTTAATTTGCCTTCCACAGTCGTCTCAAAAAGCACTCTTCAGACTCGCCTTCCACAGTCAATCCCCTTAGAATCTGTAGCCTTAGTTTTTCATCACTGTTGCATGCGTCAATCTCATCTTAGTTTGCATCTTCAATGGTGCCGTCAATCGCAAGTCTTCCCTCTCTATTGCGTTGTCCACGAGCCTCTCCCTCACGGCTGAAGCATCCTCATATGCCCTAATAAAAAAATTATAATAGTAAATTATGAATTATAAAATACTAAAATAAATATTTTGCTAAAAAATACTAAAATAAATATAAAGTTGAGGGATGAAATTGATAGAATCCCAAAATATAAAGAACTAAAAGTTTCTTTATCCCTAATAATTATCATCGATTGTCATTTGAATATTTGAAAGGTATTATATTGTCATTCTTCCTTATTTAAATTCAACATTTTTTTAATCTGGTATAATATTGAACGGTGAGTTTACTGTGTTTTAATTGAAGTGACCAAAATTAAAAATTGAAATAAAAAGTACGTCACAATGACAGGAGAAGCATATAAAAAATATGGTGGGTTAATAATTTTACCAACAAAATTAATAGTTATATAAATTAAATATTAAAATATTTAATTATATTACCGATGATAATATTAACATTGCAGACAAATAAAATTTAAGAGATTAGAAGCCAAAAAAAAGTACTTGTAACAAAAAAATATTAAAAATATAGAGATTAATTATTGTATTTTCCAGGAAAAATATTTCTAAACAATTTTGTGAATAACTAATAGGTAAATTTTTTGCTAAAGATTATTTAATTACTAGTAATTAATTAAACAGCAAGAACTTGTGAAAATTTTATAGAAGGATCACTGAGATAACTTATTTACAAATAAAGTCCAAAACAATATGAAATGTTATTGAAAGATTTTGGGTCTAAATTAAAATTAAATTATAAATAAAAATAATTTAAATATTATTCTCTAATTAAATTGAATAATATATATAATGGATTTAACAAATAATGATATTGAATTAACAAACAATATTTCATGTCTAACAAGTCAGCATTACTTAACAAATGACTTAAGTAATGTATTTATTATAAGTTAGATGTTCAACAAATTACATAATAAAATTAATAAGTAATGATAAGAAATTAAAAAATAATATTACTCGCCTAACAAGTAATTTAATTGACAAGACAAGTAACTAAGACAAGTAATGTAAAATAATTGATAAATAAAGTTATGGAATGAACAAATCTTGTAAAGCTACTCATAAAATGGTTCTTTCTGAAATCAATATTAATTTATTTTTACTTCAATCCTGTGAGTTCGAGAATTGTTTGGGCCTGATTTATAAATACATTATATTAGTGGTCTTTTAATGAAATTGTCCCAATTTCTTTGTCATCCTCCCGGCGGATCCCCAGTCGCCACGTCCACATCAAAGACTCGTTGCATGTCAGCACCGACACTACAATATATATATATATATATACACCCAACAGCCCAACGCATTTCACATAGATGGATGGAAAAAAATATGGATCCATATCAAATTTTTTTTTTTTTGATATAACTCACATTTTGTGCATGTTGTATTTCTACCAGCCTATTGTGCGTTGGTAAGTTAGCCCAATAAAAAAATTTTCATATACGTTTTTTTAATTTTAAAAATTATAAATTTATCACAGTGTTAGAACTTATCAATAATTATTAGCATCACACAATTAAATATAAAAATATAATTTACATATAGAAGTTTAAAAAGTAAAATTAAATTTGATCTTAATTTAAGTAAAGGTTAGCAAGGTAACCTTTTTTTTTTTTACTAGCTGAGAAATTCTAAATTCATTAAAGTACAATGTAATAACAAAGACAATAAAAAAAATAAAGTTATAATTTGTCCACAGCTTGATAATCTAGCAACTTATAATTCAAAAGCTGTTAAAGAGGATTTGAAGGTTGATATATGGATCATTCTAAATTACTCTAAAAATGATTCATGTATCACTCAGGATAGTACTACTTCAAACAGCAGCACAACAATAGAGTTTGAATCTCATGTAACCTTGTAAAAAAAGAGAGAATTACATTGAAATCTCACACAAGAAAATTAACTACTGTAAAGTCTATTGATAGTTGAACTAAATTGCATTAACAACGCAACCAATTATTAAAGTAGTTTAGTTCAGTTTGTCAATAAACTTTGTAGTAATTAATTTTTCTGTGTTGGATCTGGTTGTAATTCTCCAAAAAAAAAAAAGGATGGCTATATTGCTTGTGCCTAGTTGAAAATATTTTACTCAAATTTAATTGTAAAAAAGTCTTTGGTTGGATATATGTTACACTAATGCACTTGACTGGCCATGAATTTATAGATATCTCAACTAGTTAAATGTGACAGGTAATAACAACAGTAGGTAATAAGTATGTAATTTGAATTATTTTAATAATTTGAAAAATGGTGAGGGCTTGACAATTGAGAGAATAATCCTATAATTTGTATGTTTTTTTTTTCAAAAATAAGTGAGTCAACCCATGAGTCAAAACTGCCTTGTATATAATGAATCCATTTTTTTTAGTGGGTTGGCAAGTTGAGCCATTACCAGCTCTAAATCTTACATTATACTTCCTCCTCTTTTTATAAGTAAAGTTTAATTACTATTAGAGTAAAAAAAAATTACATAAAATGTAAAAAAGAAAAGACTTGTCAAGTAGTATTTCTTGTGCCAAAACAAATAAAATTGTAAAAGGTAATATTAATGAGGTTAGATCTAATGGAAGGAGCTAATTCCTTATAATATAATGAACTAAATTTAAATCTCCACTAAAAAAGTTGTTCATATTTAATATATCGAATATAATTATCGCTAATAGAAAGATTCATGTGGATTATAAAAAAAAAACAAACACAAATAAACTCTTAGAAAAGATGACCCATTATGGAATGTAAGAGGAATTTATATTAGGCCTTACAAGTTACAAAGCATACTCAATAAAATAAAAACTAATATGAACAAAGATAAAGTGAGTAGTTTTAAGGGTTGTTTTTAGGATTCAATGACAAATATGTTTTGAAACTTTTTTGACAGGTGCACCCGGTATTTAAACTTTTTATCAAAGTATTATCACCTTCTCTACCTTTTAAAAAGAGTATAATGTCACCCTACCGTTAACTAATACTAACATTGACCATTAAATGTTATTTTAAATAACAAATAATTGATACGTCAAGTTGAAATGGACTTCTTTTTTCAAAACATAGAAGAGTTCTTATAACTTAAAATTGGAACAAACTATATTATGCAAACATCAATTGTATAGTGATTAAAAATTGTTATACATTTACTTGAGAAATATGTGATGTCAGAATATATAACAATTAAAAATTATTATATATAGTCTTTTTTCATAGTAGTATTAGGCTTGTCGCATTTATGTTTATTGTGTTATTGAATTCCGTGTTGCTAAATCCCAATTAAGGGTAAAATGCAACCTTACAACATAGGAACTCGAAGAACACAATGGAGCAAAGGCCAGGACACGATGGAGTACGAGCATGAAGGTTGCTAGACAATTAGGAGGAGAGAAAAATTAACATAAACAAAAAAGAGGGAGGATAATTGAGGACATGAACATTGAAGTGATTGAATACCATTCAAACACAAATAGAATTAATTAATGAAGAGTGGGAGAAGCAAGAGCTTCGTGCCATGGGTCTTCACCATCAAACTATGGAGGGGCCAAGAGCAGAGATTGAGAATGACGAAGAGTACGTGCTTGAAAGGTTAGTCATTTGAACTTCAACTTAAATAAGGAGTCACTCATCCAATCCATATGCTAAATAAATTGTGTCAAAAATTGACCTTTATATAATATATATATATATATATATATATTTCCCAACTCAGCCCACTAAAAAGGAAAAACAAAAAGTGAGTAAACCTACTAGTCTAACCGTTATACTTATTTGGTCTAAAAAAACTTATATATTTTTATTTTTATTGTATAACACTTTCAATCATTTTAAACATCTTAAAAAAAATTAATTTTTTTATATCATAAAAAACGAGATCTATTTTTATTTTTATTCTTGCTTTTAAATCATGATACAATTATATTAAATATTTTCATGTTAATTAAAAAATAATAAACTTTAAACAGTGATTTAATTATTATATTATAACGTATACAATTATATTAAATATTTTTATGTTAATTAAAAAACAATAAACTTAAAAAAACTGATTTAATTATTATATTATAACGTATTTTATATTTTAAATTAAAAAATTATTTTTTTAAAAATGTATTATAAATAGGACCTGAATATAACATTGCATTCATCATAGAAAACAAAGACGCGCACACTCGGCATGCACCTATACTTATCAACTCACTCCGGAGGCCCAATCCGCCGTCTTTCTTTTCAAAGCGGCGATTTGGTGCCACAAGGCCAATTGGCTGTTAGCACATTCCACGTGTACAGTTAGTAACACAATCAAGTTATGCAAGTGAGAAAGTATAAAAATAGATATAAGAATACAAGATAAAGTAAATTATATGGGCTGGGGTATAAAAATGGGCTGGGTTGAGCCCACCCATTTATATTTTACCCAACCCAATATGTATGAGTGGATTGGTGGGTTATTTGAGCCTGACCACGAACCCACTTTATTTTTTTTTTTTAAATTACAATCCTAAATTTAATTTATCGGTCAAATAACTTATTTTAAACATGTGTGTCACAAAATTCACAATACTTAATCTTAAATTTTTGAAGTGAGAGACAAATGTGTGGACGTGGCATGAGTGATTTGCTACACATTTGCCTTGCCAGAGCTACCTTAACAAAAAGAGTGCAGAAAGAGTAAGGCCTCATTTGATTTACTGGAGTTAGAGAGAAGGAAAAGAAAATAGAGTGGAAAATGGCATTTTCCCAGTTTGGTTGGGATGTATTTTAATTCTTGAATCCCAAATTTTCCCTATCATATATATATATATATATATATATATATAAAGTAAAGTTTAAAGCTACGATATATTCATTTTTAAATTTTTTATAATTTTATATTTTAGGATATATTCCTTACGATTTTGTGCTTTAAAGTTAAGTTTATGATTATATTAGAGATGATTTATTATTTTTTAATACATACATACATACATACATACATACATACATACATACATACATATATATATATATATATATATATATCATTTTTTAGACTAATATAAAAACTAATTATTAGATATTTGAAATGAAAAATCTGTTCTATCTTGATGATTTTATAAAATTATTCCAGCCAAAACTTATATACATTTTACCTATTTTCTTAACCGTGGTTCATAGATATTAAAAAAATGATATTTAAATATAATAAATTATGAATATATTCTGTATTTCATAATTAGGTTCGAGATGATTTATTATATTTATATGTATATAAAATAAAAAATTTACGTTTGGAATAAGTTTTAAGATTATTTATCATTTTTTATATATAAAGTAAATTAAATTTTGATTATTTTTATAGGTTCAGTTTGAAAAATTATATATATATATATATATATATAAAAAATAAATGAGTGGTCACTCGTTATGTATGTGTATATATATGTATGAAATTTAAATCAAATCATTTAAAAAGGAGTAATCAAATTAGTTTATATTTTCATACAATAATAAAATTAAATATTATTTATATTTTGATAAGTCTAGCTTAGAAAATAAAATGAAAATATATATAGATTTATCTATTTAAAGTTCAAATTATTATTTAATTATGATACAATTTTACAATATCTCCCTTTATCTCCACAGGTTTAAAAATAGAAAGCCTTTATGTTTAAATTATGAATTTTAAGTTAGATTATTTTTTCAGCCCAAAAAAAAAAAAGTTAGATTAGTTTAAATTTCAATATCTAGTGATTAGATTATATTTTCAATTTAACTGTTAAATATATTTCAGAAGGATTTTATTTTCATTTTCTCTTGTAATTAAGTGGTAAAATAAGGAAAATTAACTTTAAGTGCTTAAAATACTACTTTCTAAGGATTAGACATAAGAGAGAACATGGATTGCAAGGACAACCCACTTAGTCACATATTACAGTATACATGCAGAGTTATGTCCAGTTCCACTTCTGATGTGACTTGTTCCTCTAAATAATTGATTTTTCCAATAATTATTGTGTACCTGAATATGCCAAGAATAGGCAGTCCCTTCTGCACCGCCACTCTTCTTTTCATGAGGAGAACCGCAGCAGCACCGTCACTGACTTGGCTTGCATTACCTGAATTTAGAAGATAAAGAGAGACACAACGTAAACGAACCAACAGCTAAAGAATTAGCCAAAGTAATAAAAACTAACAAGAATGGATTTCCTGAGTACCTGCAGTTGTGGATCCATCCTTCTGGAAGGCAGGCTTTAGTTTTGCCAAGTCTGTCAAATTTGTATTTGGCCGGATGCCATCATCAACAGAAACTATAATATTCTCCTCCTCCCCACTTTTTACAAAAACTACAGAAATTTATCACGTGTTAAGAAACCTATTCAAGTGGAACTCCAAATGGATTACGAGTATATCCTTATCTATCGTTTTAGTTTAGCATTATTTAAAGTCCAGAATTTTATTCTTATCCAAGATTCTAAGTTACCCTTTATCCTTATCATAAGAAGTTTATATCGAAGTTAATTTCCATCCTGATTTCATTACAAACAATAAGCAGAGAGGCTATCATATTGTGTGTCAGAGTTCAACCTCAGTGACAGCCTCCTCATCAACATTTTCATGTGTTATATCTAATTTTAGGATTAGAAAGTTCATCTTTGCTGCTGCTACTTGCCTTTGTAGAAACTGGAATGATTTCTTCTTTGAATTTACCAGATGCTGTTGCAGCAGCAGCACGCTTGTGAGACTCAGCCTATTTATTCAAATCAAAAGAGTTCCATTCAGTTTGATAATCTCTTAAACAGCTCTTAGAATATTTAATTTTGTCATACTCACAGCAGCCTCGTCCTGCTGCTGCCTTGTGACACCAAAACGCAGTGCAACATTCTCAGAAGTAATTCCCATAGGAAGAAGACAATCCCGAGCTTGTTCAAAAGTTTCCAACTGTTAAGGACATGAAAAGTAAAGCTGGACAAACCATGTTTATGCCTGTAAAAACAAAATATGGACTTCAAAAGATTAAATCTTAAAGGCACCTTTGGGTTGTTTTTACTAAGCCTAGTAATATTATCTCGAGACATACACTCTAATCCAGCTCCGATTCCTGAATCATAGAATAAGAAGGTTGACACCAATATCTTTTAAACTAACAGATATTCGGAATTCACTCTTACCTATGTCATAAAAACCAGCTTTTATATAAGCAGCAACATCAGCAACTGCCTGAAGTCCCGATGAACATTGCCTATTGACAGTCCTGAGTGGCGTTGTATCTGTTTTAATCATATAAGTGATAAACCATATATTGATGTTGGGGATAAAATAGCACAGCAGTTCTAAGCATTAAGTATCAGTAAATAAACCTGCAAATTAAATTTTCAGTAAAACCAGTCAGGAATTTCACATAAATCATGTTTTCAATCAGTTTTCATAGCTAAGTTCTTATTCGAAAATGATGCATTTGAGGATGGTCATTTCAACTTGATTAAGAAATTTACCAGGGAAGCCAGCATAGAAGGCGGCCATCCTGCACTCAATTGCTCGTTCTGATCCTGGTGCAATTATGGTGCCAACAACTATGTCTCCTACTTCACTTGGGTGCACATTTGTTTTTTCTATTACAGCCTACATGAGAACTCATGATTGAGGTAAATTTTACTAGTCACAATGATTATAAATGGTCCCATAAACCCAATTCTTTGTCAACAATTACACTTCAAAATGTCTCCCTTTATCAAATAACACTTACCCTCAAAGCAGAGGCAAGGAGATCATCTGGAAGGGTATCCTTGAAGCCCCCACGCTTTGCTTTACAGATTGCAGTTCGGTATGCACTGGTTTTTGCAGGAAATAATAAAAGATAATAGGCTTAATTGTTAATACTGTGATTAACAAAATAACAAATCAAGAAATACTCAGTAAGTTGGCATCCACATTCCCGAATTAATCAACTTACGCCACAATCACCACGTCATCTTCAGATGCAGATGTTCGAGCATGAGAAAAATTATCACCAGAACAGATTGATGCCTAAAAAAAAAACAAAAAAGAAAAAATTAGCCATCCCTTTAAAAAGAAAAGGCGAAAGCAAAGTTAAGGCCGATGAAAAAGCGTATCATTTGCAAAAATGCTTGAATTGACTAACTCTACAAGATAGAAACATTCCAAAGATTCGAGACAAAAAAACTACCAATATAATTAACAAAAATTTTATCTCCGACTTTTTAACACATACAAGATAAGCATTCAAAGATCATTAAATTTAGTATGGGAAAGAAATAGGAGTAGAAGTTTGAGAATCATCAAGTAACAACACAAGCAAAAAAGAAAGAACTCATTCCAGCATGAAGCAACTGCAGAAGTGAAAAAATAAAAAGGGAAAAAGGCAGACGGGCCATGAGGAATAGGAATCTCTCAACAAATTAAAAACGAGAAACGAGTAGAATCTCGGGTATTCGTGCACAGTAGAGGAGTGAAGAGACGGACACTTGAAGAAGATGAACTTACACAGAGATGATGGATTGGCGGGAAAAAGATGAAATTGAAGAAGCAGGTCGAAGATGTTCCAGCAGCATTTTCTGCCTACGAATCACTTTTTCCATCTTGCAACTCCTTCCAGTGCCTCTCCGCCCCTCGCCCTTCCTTCGTCACTTATTGGCAAATTGACCATCGTGCTTTAAAAAAAAAATTATTTTTTTAAAATACTACATTTTTTAAAATATTTATCAAGATTTTATAAATTAAAACTTGGTCTTATACACGCCAAGTCTCAAATTTTCTTTTTAGTAAGATTTATACGGAAGTTGGTTTATATCCTCAGAGATGTCAGAATCTTCCCAGCTTTATTTTATCTCTCTCCTTCGCATGCTTCTATTTCTTTGTGTCACAAAAGTAAAAAGAATATGAAGCATTCAGGCCAAAAAAACAAAGCCTTCACATATTCCTATTTCTTTGCGTCAGAAAAGTGAAAATGGTACGGAGCATTCAGGCCCAAAAAACATTGTTGACAATGAAATTCAGTTTCTAACATACCAATTTGATCACATATATTTTTACTCGGCCTTCACAATATCAAGTTATGAGGAGAATTTGTCGAAAAGCGATTTCTACTACACCAGCTTCACTTTATTATTTTTTTTAAATGTTGCTATTGGGATATGACACTATATTACAAGACGTGACACTGTTTTTGTACGAGAATATATGCTTCTCATGATGTATTGTTCATTAATATGTGTATTGTCCCCTTTATATTTTACTATATTTTACAATGCCATGGTTAGGAAGTTTTGAAAATAAATATAAACTGTCTAATCGATACATGAATTTTTTTTTCTTTTCTTTATCTTCCAGCACCTGCATCTTCTTCCCCATTTGTTCCATTTTTTTACAAGTATTGTATCTATCTCTCTTTAGCTCTCAAAATTCTTTCTCATTTAGACATCATATTTAAGAAGGTAAGCATATCTATCATATAATTTAATATTTTGATTATAATAAAAAATATTTATTTTTATGTATGTTTAGAATTTTTTTTATACATGTAAATATTATTCTTATTGGAGCCTTACATTGTTGTCAAAAACGCGATTCACCTTGTCCAAATCTTGGACTTTATGTTTTTAGGTAATATTATCTATTCAACTTGGTTATAAAAAGGCTACCGTTTCTCACTTGTCAAAACTTGCGAGTCAGCCCTTTGAACTTGCTTGAATCACGTTCACGTAATGCTTCTGTATGAGTTGATCAATTGGTCTGATAGCAAGACTTTCAACTATGAGCATGAAAAGCTTAACCCCACCCTTCTCATCAAGGTCCTGACTACCACCCCAGCGAATGCATTTTATTTTAACACAGCCACTGTTAAGTTATATACTATGTAAGAAACTACATTTGTGATATTTACGATATAACAAAATGTCAGTAATGCAAAATTTGTAAGAAAAAAAAAACCAAATATATGACAAGTTGTATGCAACAAATAAATATAAAGTTTTAATATGATGTGAAATGAAAAAAAAAGATAAATTTTTATCAAATGTTATGCATGTTAAGTTTTAATATATGAATCATGCTATTTGTCAAGTTGTATTGTTAATAATTCCAGAAAAATATCATCAATACAATTCATGTAAATAAAAAAAACAATTATAATTATTTATATGAAAAAGGTTGTCATTATTTAGTTACTAATAATGCTTTTAAAGTTTATATACAATCATGATTTGCTAGTCAAACAAATAAAGTCATTATTTATATTTTTTTAAAAATATTGATATTTTAGTTCAGATATACAAGATGGTTTTCTAATTAATTATGAGATATAAGGATACGTTTTAAAATTGTTCAATGATACTATAGTCTTTAATTATTATTAAGGTAGAAACAATTAATAATTATCTTTACTAACAAAAAAAATTTATATACACATAATTTTATACATGGTTAGTAAATCTAGGGAAAAAATAACCAAGACTTTTATATACATATAATTTTCTAGTAAAAAATACATAAATTTTTTACAAATTGCTATGTTTTTATAAGTGACTTTGTTTTAAAACAACTTGAATTGATTAGTTCAAATATACAAGAACTTATCTAATTAATAATGAAATACTCCATCCGTTCAAAAATGTAAGGTACTTTTTGAAGAGTTGGATGTTCAAAAATGTAAGGCATTTTTAGTCTTTCGAGATATAATCATTACCTTTTTTTTTCAAAAGTACCCCTATTGATAATGACTTTATATTTATTGTAAGGTGATTAATAGGGATAAATATAAAAAGATAGGATTAGTTTGAAAGTAAGTAACTATTTTATTGGGGGTGAGATTTGATTAAAAATGTCTTACATTTTTTAACAGCAAGAGTAGTATTTTAAAAAATTATTTTTCAGAAACATTTTAATTGTTTAATGATGATTTAGCCTTTAATCATTATTAAGGTAAAAAAAAATATAAACATAATTTTAGAGGAAAATGAAATAAATTACTAGTATAATTGTATGGGTTAATGAGCAAAATAGACCTTGAGCTCTTGTTCAAAAAGAGTCCTAGACCATGAACTCTTAAAATCTGTAAAATAAATCTTAAACTTTTAAATTCATAGCACATTAAACTCTACCATTATCTTTTTTTAAACACAATTACTGTTCACCGTACTATTCACTGTGGGCCCTAAATTAATTAACGTCACAGACTCTAAACTATTATGCAAGTAGTATCCTGGACCCTCAACTTTAAAGTTGTGAGCAAATTATCCCCATCATTTATGTATAGAACATTAATTATTATGTAGACCAAATTAGCCTTAGCATGGTTTACCTCGGTGAATGCATTATTGACCATAGTGAATGACCCATAATTTTGTTAAATGATTTTTTTGTAGTTTTTTCCGAACGATTAATACCCCATGCTTCCATATACTCTATAATTTCAATTTAGTCTTATTTTGAATAATGTTTATTTATTTAATGGTGAAAACTTGAGATCACATTTGATGGCACTGATCTCACACTCAAACAATCATTCGTTTAAAAGATGGACACCCGAATCCAAAATGGTTCGTTTCTACAACAAAACACACACCAAGATGTCTAACTCACAATACCAAATGCCATTAGCCCCAAAGACACTTTGACCACCTCAAATGGACCACACACAATATAACAATTCATTTATATCACACAATTAAGTAATCACACTTAAAATGACCACTTAACCCCCTATTTGACAATAACACAAAGGGGTAGATTGTATTTAGCACACACACTTCTTGGTCATTTTAGGCACATAATTCACTTCAAATTCATCACTTGTAATTGTAACTTGGCCCAACAAACATGCATAATCCACACATAAACCTTGGACCAAGATACACACACTTATAACAAAAAAAATCATACAAGTGATATCCAAAATAATGTCATGTTCCTAAGTTAGCATTATATATCGACAACATTCATTACAATACCCAAAAAGAAGAAAGAGAAGAGCTATACAACTATGCTCTTCACTCTTCAAACGCCCTTTCCTTTCCCTTGCCCCTACTGGAGCCTTTACCTGTAAAATATAACCACGAGATGAGATAAATATCTCAGTAACTAATATAGTTCATCAAATGTTTATTACCACAAATAACCATGATAAAGTATCAAAACTATAGTAATATTAGATATACTATATTTATGAGATAAGTGCATCTTTTCACAATAATTTCACACAATTTCACACTAGTATAATCATATAACCACCAAACCTCTAATACTCCCCGACATGAAATCATAGGCTCTTCTAGGTCAACCACTTATTGACCCGAGCATACTTTTGGTGGTAGAAACACCCGGCCGAAAGTAATCTAACCTACTTATAGACTATGATTTTTTTCTCTTTACACACTTGTGATAGAGGCATCATTGACTCCTAACCGCACCCTAACAAGTACTAAGGAGTTGCAAGACTGCTCAGATGTCCTATGGTAACAGTCCCATATAATGCTGCACTGGATGTCTCATGGTGCCAGCCTGACCATGTGAATTTTTCACTCACATATCTCCACACACACATATCCCCACATATCTCGAGTGAACTCCCATCCCTTATGATTATGCCTTTTCACACTTATCATTGCATATCCACATTTCCATAACATTTACTTTCATATCATATATATATATATATATATATATATTCATTAGAATCAGTGACTTTTTAAAATCCATTTTAATCCATTTTACAAACCAATGTTCATGCTAAAAATCATTTTTCAATATTAAATCATGCATAAAATCCTTAAATAACAATTTAATCACTTTAAATTTACTTTTACATAGTTATAATAGTTAATAAACACAATAAACTATATGGTTACCTCAACCTTTTGTCACGCAAAAGGGTTACCATGGCTCAGCATTAGCTCCACACGTTCTATACGCACAATAAAGCTCGAGCAACCCTCAATCTATAAAATTAAGTGACAATTATCAATTATTACTTCAGTTAACCCAGAATTCACTAGGTTCTAAGTGCCTATAACACCTAATTTCCCTTTCTCACAACATCAACTACTCCCAAATACTCTAACCATCCTATCAAACATTCACACACACCAAAACCACTAACTAATATCTCACATTGTACCAAAATCTTCCAATTATGCCTAGGGTTCGTCCAAATCCTTACCAAAACTTTTCAATCACTATAAAAGTCATAAACTTAGGGTTAGAGGCTTGATTTAACTCCCCATGATCTTAAATAAACTAATAGGTTTGATCTAAACCCAAAGAAATCAAAATTAGAGCCCCCATTGCCCTAAATGTCTATATTTTTTTCACATAATGAGGGAGAAGAGAGAATGTGCAACTTATCCAATAGTGATTTAAGCTCTAAATGCTCCAAAATAGCTTAGGAATCGTGTCCTAGTAGACTACAAGCTCTCCTCCCTCGCTCTCTTGTTTTCCCTCTTTCTTCTTTCTATTTTTGATCTACTTTTGCGTTTAATAAGTGTAGATTTTGCATGTGCGCCGTGGCGCATTAACACACCCTCCACAGCACATGGTAGAGAAAATCTCATAAAATTTTAAACTCATTTTTGTGCCATGGCCCTCTTGAACATCAACCTAGCCCTCTTTTAAGGCTGTACAAGGATTTAAAAACCATATTAGTCTCCCATAAACCTTGCTAAATCAATAATTTATCTAATTTGGCCAAATTACCCCTTAAATACAGTGATAATTACAAATGGAGAAACTTAGGAAGTTACAAGTGCAATATAAAGAATGAGTAGCTCCTGAGTCAAACAAAGCCTTAACTCTTTGTTCGCGAATAGAAATTATACCTATGATCAAATTCAGTGCTATTTGAGCCTCCTCCCGAGAAACTATGTACACTAAACCTGACACTATCAGTCGCTACTCAAAAGTTCCCTCTTAGTTCTTGAGGCCATCTTTTGCAAAATGGCCAATGCCACCACAAATGTAACATACCCAACACATTCCAAGATGATTCTTCCCACAGATTGCACACACAAGTAAGCGTGTAATGCTCACACTAGATGTAAGGGCGGTAGCAGTCTGACTCGACTACTGTAAAGCTCTAAAATTTTTAGCCCTATTAAATCTCCTACCCTGGCCAACTACTACCCGAGATTGTGATCCTCTACTAAAAATTCTCTAGCTTGAGAATCCAGAACCACTAGCACCAAAACTGCTCCTCTTTGATATTCCTCCAGTCAGGCCTAATGAAGCAAAAAATCGTACATAAGTATCTCTTTTGTTCTCAAAATCTACCTCTTGACCTTGCCTTGCAGCTATACGAAGTTGATTGCAGGTTTCCTCATAAGTAGCCTCTCCCAATGATGCTATCTACCTTCTATACT